TTGATAATCTTCTGAATTTCCACTGAGTCTGTGGTAATTACACCCTTTTCATTCCTTATTGCTTGTATTTGAATTTTTTCTTTCTTCTGTTTGATGAGGTTAACTAGGGGCTTATCGATTTTATTTAATCTTTCAAAGAACCAGCTTTTTCCTTTTTTAATTCTTTGAATTGTTTTCTTCATCTTAATTGAATTAATTTCTGCTCTAATCTTTGTGATTTCTTCCCAACTTTGGGCTCTGCTTTTGGTTTGCTCTTACTTTTCTAGTTGTTGAAGGTGCAGCATTATGGTATTTATTTATTCTCATTCTGTTTTCCTAATGTGTGAGTTCAGAGCTATGAATTTCCCTCTGAGAACTGCTTTCATCGTATCCCATAAATTCCAGCAAGTTGTGTTTGAATGTTCATTGAATTGTCAATATTGTATTTCTTGTTTCATTTCATCTATGACCCATTGGTTGCTGAGTATGGTGTCATTTAATTTCCATGAATTTAAGATTTTATTTTGTTTTCTTTTGTCATTTATTTCCAGGTTCATTGCACTGTGGTCAGATAATGTGCATGGGATAATTTCTGTTTTCTTGCATATACTTCAGCATGACCTATGTACCAGTATGTGGTCTATTTTAGAAAATGACCCATGTGCAGCTAAGAAAAATGTGTATTCTGCTGTGTTTGGGTGAAACACTCTGTATATGTCCACCAAGTCCATTTGTTTCAATCTCTGGTTCAGTTTTGTTATTTCTTTGCTAAGTTTTTGTCTGGTTTACCTATCTTTTAGAGATAAGGGTGTGTTAAGGTCTCCTGTTAAAATTGTGATATTGCATATTAGATTTTTCATGTCCATTAAGATTTGCTTTATATAGTTGGGTGCTCCCCTGTTTTGGTGCATACATATTTATGAGGGTTACCTCTTCCTCTAGAATTTTTCCCCTAACGAGTATATAGTGGCCTTCTTTATTTTGCTTGACCATTGTTGGTTTGAAGTTGAGACTGTCTGAGAATAGGATTCCTACCCCTGCTTTTTTCTGAGGTGCTGGGCATGTAGTATTGTGTTCCATCCTTTGACTTTCAGCCTATGAATGTCTTTGTGAGTTAAATATGTTCCTTGTATACAGCATATTGTTGGATTTTGTTTCCTAATTCACTGTGCCAGCAATTCTTAATTGGTGAATTGAGTCCATTTGTATTGATGGTTAGAATTGAGATATATTGACGTACGATTGACATGTTAATTACCTGTTGTTGTTTACTCCTTTTTCTCCTGTGTTTAATTCTTTGCCCTATTTAATTGGTTGCTTCTGATCTCATTCGTGGAGTTCTGATCATTTTGGTCCCTCTCTCTAGAACATCTATCAGTAGCCTGTGTAGGGTTGG